GAGATCCCTCACCAGGCAGTTTCACAACCATTTACACCATGAATCATGTGAGCCTTTGGTAGTTAACAAGCCTTGAGCCATGTGCGTTGGGGGTGGAATTAATTACCCGGTGAAGGTGAAATACCTTTAAAAACCAAAAAATAAGTCCAGTTGCAGCATTAAATCCCTGCAGATTATTATGACCTGAGTGACTGAGAATCTACACAGACAGGTTAAAAGGTGCTACACAAGTACAGACAATTTAGGGTTTAATTAATTCTGCTGTTTTGGGTCAAATAGTCCACACATTTCATTAAAACTAATGGCTCCGCATGATTGTAGACACTAATAATGTGCCATCAGTTTTCACTACAGCAAGCACATTAGTATTTTAAGACCAAGAAAGGGTGACAAATTAAATTAAAAAACCTGAAACCATGACCCCTACAGATCTGGTGCCTCCATTATGCACTAGGGGGCATTTTGCTAAAATGGTTTGGTTCCACTTGTTTACTTAGAGGGAAGACTCACTGCAAATGTACATAATGAATGAAAACTTTTTACCCTGACAGGAGTGGCATCTTCCAGGGTGACAATACACGAGGGCACTCAATGGTCTGATGTACAGAAAGATGACATGAATCGTAAACTATGGCCTTCGCAGTCACCAGGTCTCAATCAAGTTGAACACCTACATCTACAATCTACAATTTCATCTAGCAGACGCTTTTATCCAAAGCAACATACAGCTGAGAGTAGATACACATCCATACACCAATGGCGACAGAGCTGCCATGCAAGGTCCCTGCCTGCCATTGAAAGCAACTTCGGGTTCAGTGTCTTGCCCAAGGACACTTCAGCTCTGAGGATCGCCAGCCTTGCGATCAGAGGACAATTGCTCTACCACCTGAGCCACAGCCACCGTATGGGAGATTTCAGATCAGCATGTTAAAAAGTGCTCTATATCACCATAAACAAACACTGAATGATGGTACATCCTTTAGTAAAATGGTGTTCCATCCCTTCAGTAGAGTTCCAGAGACTTGGCAAATCAACGCCAGTGAAGCTGTTCTGACAGCACATGACATTCCTCAACACCTTAAGAAGACACTTTATGTTTGGTTTTTCCTTTAATTTCTCACCTATCTGGAGCAACTTAAATTACGAAGGCTACTCTCTGCACAACTCTTCACAGGCTATGACCTAAAGGAGGAGTTTCCGTGTCTCCTGGCCTCTTTGAAAAGCCTTTTTGTTAATCAAAGTTATACAGCAGCAAAAAAAAAAGAATGAGAGTCTGTACTTTTCCATGGGCTCCATTGCTTTAAAACATTCCAAATCTAATTTTGACTCATTAGTAAGCCTCTGGAGTACCTCTGTCTCATACTGCAGACACAACCTCTGAGACTTGCATGTGTGCGTGTGTGAGACAGCATCTTTAATTACCCAGGTAACACAGCCAGATGCTCCATCACTCTGGCAATGGCAGTGATTAAAAGCAGTAAAATATTCATTTCAATCAGACACCCACATGCCACATGTATAATTAATGCACAGCGGAAGGACACGCCAACTTTTACCACAACCACACACATACACACACTTTTCCATCACCATATTCCCTCTACACATCACAGCCAGCTGCTGCATGTATATATATGTGTGTTTGTGTGTGTGTCGAGGCGGATCCATGAAATGGAACTGTGGATGAGCCACTTCGAGCAACACTCCACAGGGAGGTCAGAGGGTAGCCAGACTGCATTCTGGGACATCATTCAGACACCTACACAGCAGATGTGTTGGGCTGCTCTCTCACTGCCCTGACTCTCTCTGGGAGTGTTTTTGTTGGGGAAACAGCATCTTGAGTTTGCCATCTATCAGGCATTCAGCTTTCTCTGGTGTGGGTGTGCTGCCTTTACTGCTCCTTCTTCTACTTTTTAACGCTTCTGTGCTCGTCAATGCCTCAAAATACCTGTGAGCAGTTTGTCGGAGGTCTCAGAAGCCGTCTGATGTCTCTAGTGGGCGGAAGAATATACAAACACAAAACAATCTGCGACTTGAGGTGAATTTACAGACATAAAGTAGACATTTGATTTTTAACTCACTTTGTGGAACAGATCTTATCTGCCCAAGGCGATGTATGTGAACACAGAGCAACCACATGGAAAAGGACTATCTCATTCAGCATTTGCGCTACAGCGTCTTAAAAATTAAACATCTGATTTAAATGTAAATCACACCAAAAAAGATTCCCTTTCACACGCTTGAAATAAAATCTTTTCTTTTCTCCTGTCAATCCCCATGGTTCCACTTTGTCTGTTTTCTATTTCTGTCCTTTCAATCCATCTGACTGCTGTCTCTTTGTTTTCCATGATTAAGCCCTCTGTCGCAGTATTGTTTAGACTCCAGCAGTAGGCTACAATTACTCAGCGCAGTGTGTGTATTGTATCACGCTCATTACAATTACCTCTGGGTGTGAGTGTGTCATCTGTTGCCTGCTCATGTTCCAATTTCTCTCTGAGTGGAGAGGAAGCTGCATCCAGCTTCTTCAGCGTACACACAGCAGTGTGACCAGGAAATGGGATGTCTTCATTACAATGAACAGGAGCTGTGCATCCAAAATTCCTGTAAGAAACAAACTGACAAGACCAAGACCAGGAGATGCATTAAAAAACAATAATGGACATTCCAAAGATTAGGGCCAATCACAGGAATTTTTAACTGACGTATGGTATAGCCCTACAGACGAATTTTTATTTAAATCACAATGAAATGTGATAAAAGAAGCAAAAGTGGTTGTCATATGTTCTGCTGGGACGTAGGAGTGGCGATCTAGTTTACCTCAGCTAAATTAAATGGTTGTTCGCAGGCCTCAGGTCAGTAGGCCTCATGGGAGTATTTATCACTCTACTCACCTTTACTAGCTAAATGTCAACAATGCTCTCTGCTAGTCAACACAGAAGTACAGTAATGAACAGGAAGAGGCTCCACCTGCTGGTACAAGCAGGTATTAGCCAGTTAATCTACAAGATTTGAAGTGTGGATTACCCAGAAAAATGGTATCAGGTAACTGCAGATATAATTAATTGGCTCGGCTCAGATCGGGAAATCTCCAGCAAAAATAGTCTTAGATTTATACTTACTCTTAAAATCATCCCAGACGATGCTCTTATGTTCGATTCATAAAAGATGTTAAGTGTAGAAAATGTTGGTCAAGAAAGTTCTTCTCAAAATCCAGTTTGTAACTTAGACACATGCAATCTGTAAATCTTAAATTAACTTAGACCAGCAGAGAGCCTGCTGCCAGTGGTTAAATCTGATGTTTACTGGCACACTGAGTTTTCAGACAGATTCCTTCTAGAATCTTTGATCTATACATTCATACTGCTGTCTAGCCAAACAGGGACTCCAACCACAGGCAAGCAAAGACCTCAAAAAGACCACAAAAACAGCCGCCATTCTGCTTCAGGTCCCCATCAACCCACCCACCAACTGTGAAGCTGATTGGATACACCATATTCAGTTGCTGAGATATGCAAAGAAACATGCACAGATTAGTTGATTTGTTAAGGAGGTTGGCAGCACCTGCCTTGCCTTCTTTCCCTTATGTAATGCCAGCACAAATTATAGTTTCATCAGGACTTTCAATGGACCAAAAGAGAACGCCAAACTTTTTAAAAGACGAGCTCACTGCACTGGTTAAACGGTAGATTGACAAACAAAGCCAAACACCTGGGAGCAGTCTAAGATTTTTTTTTTTTTTTGTATTAGTGGGTAAAAATATCATACTAACCTTTCAGCATGTTATAATTCAGTGGTTTGAAAGGAAATTAGATGTCTGCATTTCCTCCTGGTGCCATTTTCAGGTTTTACAAAATCTAGCCTGACAGGAGATTTCAGGCAATAACAAGGTGTTCACTGTCCATGGCAACAGCAGGATGTGGTGGCAAAACGAATAAATCCTCGGTGAAGCCACAAATGGATGCTGACATTTAGTCAGCATATTCAGAGAGGGGAGAGCTTCAAATTCTGGTAGCTAGATTTCTAACAGACACACAAAGTTTGCTGAGATTCTTTCTTTTGATCTGTGCAATCATACACCTGCCCTACCTTTTATGTTGCCTAGCAACAGTGGCTCCACCTACAGTTAGGCTGCCGAATCCAAAAACACCATGAAAACAGCCACCATTCATGCAATCTGCTTCAAACATGACACTGCACTTCTTTGGGTCCCCAGCAATACATCAGTCAAGTTTGAAGTAAATGTGATGTACATTTGTGAAGATATCTGAATAACAGACATGCACACACACACACACACACACGCACATACTTGTTCTTATAGGTGAGACGTGGTATTCTGTTTAAGTCGTGCTTTAGATTAAATTTGATTGTGACTGTGTTTTATATTAGGGGCCTCAGAATGACCAGGAAGAGAAGATTTGAAGCCATTTCATTTCTGCTTCACACATCCTCAGGAGCAGATAGTGAAAGTGCTCATACTCCAAAGCTGTTTAATACACATAGATATCAGCAGATTGATCTTGTATTCAAGAAGCTGGAACTTGTAACAGTTGGAAGACATTACAAAAGAGCTGCAGAGAGGCTGACTAATGGGAATTACAGTAGCTTTCATTTGATTACGACTGGCTTGGTGTAACATTGTCCGTGATTTCCAAACTTTGCATCTTCCTGATCGGCTGAGAGAGACCGGCGAAGACATTCCCCAGCAGTCTGGCATCAATAAGTACCCTGGTTTAAGCGTCAGCGTAACACACATACACAAATGCGTGCACAAACACTTCAAAAGAAACTCATCTTTCCCCCACTGTCTAATTGGTTCGTGTGACGATAAGAAGGTTTTGATGTTCTTATGCAATGTCACGCAGGCTGAAAATTTCACACAGCGTACATATTACACAGTGTTGCCATAGTCCTAATTTCTGTTGTTTATAAATATGCACCTTTGATCCATCCATTCAATTTATGGATCCTGCAATAGAAAAAACAGCCAAAACAACAAATTATTCCTCAAAAGGTTTTATTTTTTCCACTTGCTGCTTGAAAACAGAGCACGTTTCTGCTGAGTTATTGATATGCAAAAACCAATATTCCCTTGGCTTTTCAATGCACTGTTTTGCACAAAACCAATAACGGACCACTTATTCTAATATAGACACAGACTCTAATATAGACCTACCCTGTCGGCACTAAAGTAAAGCTTCCACAGCAGGTGTACAACTCTTGGTGGATTTTTTTTTTGTGTGTGCTGATATGCACTCAACACCTAAAAAAGCATGGCGAAAATAAGATACATTTATTACCAGTGAAAACACAGTAGTAGCATTTGATTTCACAGTGTAGCCAAGTGTGCTACTTTACTTCAGCACACACACATAAAAGATTACCAAGATTTGAACCATAACTGCCCTCCCCTCTTTATTGTGCGACTGCTCCCGCAGGCTGTTGCTGTAAATACGAATGTTTTCTCAGTCAACTTGCCTTGTTAAATAAGATTTTACAAAATCCCATGAAAGATTTCTCTGAGCTTGACGGTTGATATTGGCATTCCTGTGCAGAGGGCTGTGTTTTAAAGCCTGCAAACAACCCAGCATAAATTTACACCATTAAGTCCCTCAGGCTAGAAAATGCATAAAGTGCTGTGTGTGTGGCATGAGAATGCAGTAGTCATAATGAGAATGTAGATGTCCTCTGCCCGCCATGGACACAGCCTTCAACATGCACACATAAGTGCTTACTCTCGTCTGTTGCCATGTGTCAATGAATAATGCACATATTAATCTCACAATGTATGGAAGCTTTACTAATTAATTCAGCATTTCCGACTCAAGGTTGTCTAATTAAAAAGGCATCTAAGTAGTCACTAGGCATGGGTAAGATTCTCTATTTATTTTTGCTGACTTTTTACCTCATTCTTTCCTATTTATAATGATCCCAGACACTTCTTCTCACATCCCCTAGCTCCACCCTCCATTGTGAAGGCATCCTGACCAATCAGTAGGAGCCTCAGCAGTGACGGCACATAGTGAACTTAACCCCTTTACCACCGGCGCTCCCAGCGGCTCTGAAATTTAATAGGAAAGAAGTAAAAGGCTTTTAGCAGCAATGACTACCGCGGGGAAGTCAGTCAAGTTGGTTGAAGGAAGTTTGGGAGGATTTTAACATCCCTGTCAGCTGGTGCTCTGCAATACGTGCTGGGATCCTTCTCCCGCTGCAGTGTTGGGGACAGAGGCTGCTACAGTTGAGACCAGGCCTTTGCTTGACTGATCCACATTTGGGGAAGGAGGAGGTACACTTTGGGCAAGCAATGCTGCAGGCAGTCCTGCGGGGAGTGAGGTGGGGCTGTGGGGCAGCTGGGGTTTTCGTGCCCTCTCTGGCGTTCCTCCAGCCTGTTTCTTAGCATTTTCTAGCAACACACGGACGCTCTTGGAGAAGACAACACGAGGGTCGGTGGCAGGTAGAGCAGGGCAGACGCAACTTTCCCTCAACTCCAGAGCCTGAGAGGACAGAAAACACACAAAACTTTACATATATCACTGCAGTAACTTTTAAGAAATTCATTAAAATTTGGGGCTGGAATAGTGTAACACAATATGTTTTTTTATTTTGGTCAATATGGATAATTATTGATCATTTTTACTGACATATATTTACACTCTCAGTCAATCACTTACCCTCTGCCTCACGAAAGCTAGCAATCTCAACCGCTACTGCGGATTTAGCCACTAATGATGAACTATTTCTAAATCAACCAACTATAAGATGCTGCTGCAAGTAAACACAGCACACAGACACTAATATATCATTTCATTTCCTTTGCTTAACAAGCCTGCACATGCTACCTGCCTAACAGGCTAACTGGCTAGGCGGGGTTGTGAGCTTGGCTTACTGCTCAACATTAGGAGTGCTCGTCTCAATCTTCTCTTGAGTGTCTAAAATATATCAGCTTAGAGTAAATTGGTGAAGCAATCAACCAGCAACAACATTAATATGGTGGTCATGCTGCTAGCTTGGCTAAAAATATGACAGGATGCAACTTCTATTGATTATATAAACAGAGGTGGTGGAAACTAACCACAATCACATCCCAGCAGATAAATACATATTCTGTGTGTGTCTCATACACCCACACACACACACACATACACACACACACACACACCCCAACTCATTAATCTCTCACTTAGAATCACCTACAAGACTGAGCACAAACATGCACTTGGCTTCCCACTCAACAGGCTCTCCCTCTCATGCTACTAGTGGACTTAATGCGCTTTGCTTAAGGATGATGAGCGCACTAGTGGAGGTGGAGTGCCCCCAGAAGAGTCGGGTTAAGTAGCTTGAGGCTGTCACCCCTTGCAAGGTTAAAAACATCACATTATGCATCACTTTCACCCGACTGAGCTCAGCTGTTAACCGGCTCATCTGTGCTGCTGCGGTGGATCGAACAGTTTGGCGTGAGGAGGATATCAGAGATACCAGAAACTAAAGAGTTTTCTCAGCACACACGCACACAATACAGCCCAATTAATCCCAAAATAACAGTCTTCACCACCTCGCTGCCTGTGGCTACAGTCTGGCCTCGATGACGACTGCTGCTAGAGGTCAATCTACCACACAGGGATGTGATGTGATGCACGAGCACATACATAGTACATGCGCATACTCGACGACACAGGCACCTGATGGACAATTAGTGGTTTACCCATCTGTTCCGTCTTTTGTGCTTGGAGCATCTGACAGTGTACCAACAGTCCAACTGACACTCAAGGTTAAATTCACTGCTGTCTAAAACACCTTTCTGCCAGAACATTAAAACCGCCTGCCTAATATTGTGTAGGTCCCCCTTGTGCAGCCAAGACAGCTCGGACCTGTCAGGGCATGACATACGACGTCTGGAGGTGTCCTGTGGTGTCTGGCACCGGGATGTTGGCAGCGGATCCTTTGAGTCCTGCGGGTTGCAGGGTGGAGCCTCCATAGATCAGGCTTGTTTTCTTGCGAATGCTCAATCAGATTGGGATCAGGGGAGTTTGGGGGTTGGGTCAACTTCTTGGGCTGTTTATCAAATTCCTCAAGCTGTTCCTTGAGTAGTGTTTGTGGCGTGGTAGGGCGTCCTGCTGGGGGAGGCTGCTGCCATCGGACATCACATTGTAACAAGATGATCAATGTCACTCACTTCACTTGTCAGTAGTTTATATGTTGTGGTTTATCGCTCTATAATGGTCATCTCTCTCTGCCCCAGACATAAACACACACACACACATATGTGTTGTAGCCATTGTGGATGCTGACACTTTCCATAGAAGCTTCTGTCCTCACTGCTTGTTAATTTCCTTCTAGCCTTAAGATACCATTGATTGTCTCGCAACACTGTCAGCCCAGTGGGGAAGCCTGTGAGACTGAGCTGCTAATGTGGGACTGTTTTCTTTCAGGTCCTCAACTCGAATCCGACAAGACATTTAGCTAAGCAGGCATTGAGGCCCTGGCACAGCAAAATGTTTTTCCTGTCTTCCTTCAAATCCTGAGTCTTTTCCTCTCACCCCCAATGTCTCCTTCCTCTTTACCCTCCTCTCCATGCCTGCAGGTCGATATACATCTCTCCAGACGCTTCATTAGCTCCATTAAGACTCCTTCCAACAGCTCCTAAAGCTACACGGTTCCTCCTAAACAACAGGCAGGTGCAGGTCTGTCTCCTCACGCAGGCATCAAAGCTCTTTTTCACTTCAATCTTTTATTTGAGACAAACACATCAGTAATGACTGTGTTTACTTACATGAAAAGGGAGGACTCAATCTAGGGAATAATTACTGTGTGTGTCTGTACCTGTGGTACGAGACGGTCCAGCTGAGTGAATCTGTTCCTGTGCGATGGATGTGTGGACAGCCACTCGGGGAAAGTGGGCTCTCCTGTCAGCTGGTCTCTGATTTCCATTTGTTGCCAGAATACAGGGCCTGCTCGCACATCTGCACACGCCTGGAGAGGACACACAGCCACATGCACGTCATGTAATCACAAACAAACACACACACAATGTGGCATCCCTCTGTCTTGTGCCCACATGAAAATCCTTACTGACTCATTGCCTGAGTTTAGTTGGACAACAGTGCCCCCTAGTGCCGTGCTGACAAATTACAAGGATTGAGAGCAACAGCTACAATAGAGTGTCAGCCTGTATTGCGAAAAAAACTCGCAAGACCAGACAGAGCAAACAAGTCCCTAATTGTTCAAAGCTGGTTCTGCCATAGTGTCGATATTTGTTATTAGAATGTAACAGCCTCACATGACATTCAACATTGTCTTTGATAGCAAGAAGGACCAAAGGGGTCAGACTGAGGATCACAAAAAACGTCCCCAAAAAACAGCCCCCTTTTATTTGATCTGTTTTAAACTTGACACTGAACTTCCTCTGAACCCCAGCTGAGATTTAAGTGAATCAGATGTATGGTTGTTGAGCAACGCAAAGATCGCATACACATACAGAGACATCTTAATTTATTCGGAAGACATCTGCCAAAAAGCAGCACAGACCTTTAAAGGGTACAACAGCAATTTAGCATTACACGTTCTTGAAGATGGGGAAATGATAAGAGACAAAGAAACTATGTGTTCCTTGTATCAGTCAAGCTTCTTCATTAGATTTTCACTTATTTCAAGTATGCACATACTCACATTTCAAACATTTTGAGTTTGTAATGCTGGCTTTCTTTCAAAATGTTCATGTTTAAAGGCCAACTTGAACTAACCAGTTATATAACTAATGATATATTTTAACAGGCCAAAAATACCGAAAAGAGGGCAAAAATAAAGTAAAAATGGGACATACCACACTGAAAACAACAACAAAAGCCTGAGAATCGGCCATGAAAAACAGCCTGAAACAAACTGTTGTTTTTAAAGCATCTCGAAAGCCAAAAAAAAAAAAAAAACACACAAAAAAAACAAGATGTTTTCACAGGCTCCTCTTGATGAGTAAACTGAACTTTACGTGTAAAATCAGTTCAACCTCTTTAGGTAATGACAAATTGGTGTTTATGTTACCTTAGCAGCCAGCTGCAATCCAACTTGATCTGCCTCAGCCTCCAATCTCCGACTGTAGGGACGTTGGAACATCAGCTGAAAGAAACGCAGAGATAATTTATGTACAGGTGTGTAAAAACTCCAAGATCATTGTGCACTTTTTCTTCCATGAAATGTGTGCTTTTCAAAATCTTCAGTTTTTAGACTGAATGTTTTCTTGAGGCTTGAATAGTCCATACCTCCACATACTTTCACCTGATGAATAGTAATGTCTCACCTCTGCAAGCTTGCCCTGTGCCCACTGTCCCAGCAGTGCCACACTGTCTCGAGGACACATGGCCCAGATGGCTGTCAGCAGAATAAGAGACAGGAGGTCCACGACATGAGACAGACTGGCCTGTTCTGCCTGCGGGGGGTGGAATTTAGGATGAGGAGTAGGTGACAGAGAAGAAAGTCATGGATTGAGGTACAAAAGCAAAGAGGATGAGACGGGGAGAGAAAAATGGAGGTAAAAAGTTTTCGGGAGGTGAATGAGGCAGCTGGAACATATTGATTGTTCCCATCTATTTTAGTGGAACGTTTACGCTGTAACAGATTTAGAGGTTTTAACAGCCAATCCAATAGAGCACACCTACTGGGTAATAACAAGCCCATCGATGCTCATTCCCTTCATCTAATTAAAATCTCCTTCAAGCATTTCCTCTGAGGACGTTTAAAGTCTTGAAATACCCATAACTTCATTAGACACTTTTTTAGAACAAGAAGAATGGGCTTTTATAGCTGCAGAAAAACAGCCATCTGTGGAGAATTAATAAAGCATGGCAGTGCCTGAGGTCGACAGGACTTTGGTCATCACAGCGGAGACAGGATTAGTGAGGTGATTGTCAGTGAGTCTTTTATCAATGGCTGATGCAACAACACTGCAACTAATGCCACTTCAGCCAATAATATACTTCAGAGGCAGAGTGGGGGTGATGATGGTGAATAGTCGGGAGATCTCAGTGTATAATGCAGTATATAACACACCTATAGCAGGTCCACATACATATTTTACAACCTTGTGTAGGAGAGACCTGGAAGACTTCCAGCTGTAGCTTCTACACTATGTGCCAAGGGCTTGTAAATAACTAAAGTTTGTTCTTCAACATTATTTGCACTTAAAGTGCTTTCAACAACTCATCCTCATGCACTCCAAGGTCTGCTACTCAACTAAGCCTCTAAAATGTCAGCATACTACACAGGTCTATGTACACTGCAGCATTTCAGTCTCAGAAACTAAACAGGTTTCACAGTTTTCTGTGTTACACTCAGCGTTAGTGTGTCATTTGAACTGTTTGAACCATTTGCACACATTATCGCACACACTCACATCTTCTTTCGGTAAATAACAGTGGCAGGCATAATTTTCTCTGATGTACAGTTGCACTAACAGTGAGGACCAGTTGTTACTGTGCTGGGAAGCAGTAGTCATAGAATTTCACCACGTAAATTATCAGTGTGTAACAAGGTCAGTGACACAAACTCATGAAAGGATATTATCCTATAAAAAATGCACATGATAGGTGATATAATCGGCTGTACAAGGGGGGATCACAAGGTTCTGGGACTGTTTGTGGTGCATTACAGCTCATGAAATGTGTGCAACATTATGTTTTTGTGACAATCAACAGCTAAGATGAGCCGACCTTCAAATTTAACGTTAATCACTGGTGACAACAGGTGAGTCATCGGCTACCACTGAGAGAAGAAACATCAGTTTTCACTAAACGAAAAAGGCGCATTAGGTCAGGAGTGCACCAGGAACATGCTCATTGTTTTCATCAATATTCATGTGGTTCTGCACCAAGAATTAGCCTCCTAGGGTCAAACTGACAAGGCAAGGTTTGACTTTGACATCCTGACATGTCTGAGGGAGAACATCTGTGTGCAGTGCAGTAGTTTTTTGGCCACAAAAACATCATCATCATCACCACCACTCTACATTCATCATGCTCGCCAGATTTGGCACCCTACGACTTCTTCCTCTTCCCCACAATGAAATTCAAGTTGAAGGGTTGCTGTTTTGACACAGCTTAAGAGATTCAGCACCCATGCAAATGATTTCGATATGTTTACACAATGGGACTACCAGGAAGCAAGCACTGCAGAAGCACTGCAGAAGCACTGCATCACTGCACAAGAAGACTATTTTGACACATCGTAGAAACAACAGCAACAGCAAACACTGTCTGCTGAGGGTTATGTACTTACAGAGTGTCCAATTAAGGCATGAGCCATCTCATGTCCCAGGACAAAAGTGAGCTGATGAACATCTGCCACAGCTTCCAGCATTCCCGTAAAAACGAATACTTTCCCGTTCTACACAATACAAAACATACCACAAATCTGAGCCACGTCATTACAGGTGTGCGAAAAGTATAACTTTCTCATTTTTGTCAGTCTTTCTTTTGCTCACTGGCAGGACAAAAGCGTTGGTTGTGGGACTCTGCACCACATGGACAGTCCAGCTGACTTCAGACATTTCAGGGATGTCCTTGTTCCTCTGTGCCAGGTGCTGCACCACCGAGTCCACCACCTGGTGACGGGGGTCAGTGACTGGAACCAGCAGCTCTGCAAACTCCTCCATGTACTGAAACACAAAGACAATAACAATTATTTAAGGAGGAGTTTCATTTGACTTTCATTGCACTACACTTTCTCCACAATATTTTATCTAAACTGTCAACACTGTTTTCTTAGCTGAGTCAATACATTTTGTTTTAAAAATATATACACATTTGTAATCTCCTATTAGTTATCATCCTGTAACACACACACACAAAGAGACACCACCTCCCTCTTGTCTCACCGCCTCTGAAGTCAGAGCTGCCAGCTCCATGTAGTTCTCTCTGCTGAACACCAGGAGGCGGGTCCGTCCTGTCACTGGAGACTCATCCAGGTGGGTTAGGAGCAGGAGGGCTACAATCACCATAGCAACGCCTGCCCCCGCTGCCAGATGCCAGCGGCGCTGCCAGGCCCATTGGCGCATGAGCTCCCGGCGGTTGTCTGGTAGAGCCACCCACCACTTCCTTAAACTCCTGTACACAGAGGGAGGCCGCAAGGTTCACTGAATCTTCTTATGATTCAGTGAACCTCGAACCGCAGTAAACCTTGAACTGCTGTTCACTGCTTGAACTGCAGCGAAGTGCTCACACAACCTCAAGCAGTAAATCTAAAATCATATGCAAGCCAACAGTGCTGAACACTGAAAGCGACAGAATCATCTGAAGCTCCTTTCATGTTGGGAACATTTGCACGTTTGGAATTTAGGAGAAAAAAACAGGCAGAAGCCTCAGCAAAAGTTTCAGTTAGAATTGTAGTACAGCAGACTGAGATCAATCATCTCTTTTTCAAAGAGGCCTGGCCAAGAAAGGAGCATGCATAAAACATGCTCACAACAATGTACTATGCACAAAATGCTCAAGTAATTCTGTGTGTGAGCTCAAAGGGCATACTCAAATATTAAATTACACAACTGGGCCAAAAGTTTTGTGACTAAACAAAACAACTCTCTGTATTAGTTCAGTGAGGAGGGCTGGAAATGGTTCCAAACTCAGTTTTCACACCCAAAATAAAACCAAATTAATTAATGAAGCTTCACTGATGGCATGTATTATGTAGCCAAATGATAGTATCATAGTCACTCACATTCAGTCATTCATTTGTACCAGCTAATTAAAACTAGTTAATTAAAACATAAAACATGGCAATAATTTGGAAAGTAATTTATTTGTTCTTAATTTGAAGACAGGAATAATACAACTGTTGATAAAACAATTAGAAATGTGTTTATTTCTAATTACTCATTAAGAACAATTGAATAACACTGTGTGATAAAGCACATAAAAATGTCTTAATTTAATTGCATTACTCAATATAAAAGAATGACGCCTGCTTTAATTATGTATTATGTAGTTATTTCTTACATTTATGAATTGAACAGGTTACTGATTAGTTTTCAAAACAGGTGCATTTCTATGTAAGGTCCCATTTATCAATACTGTTCAGTAGTACTGCAACTAAGGATTATTTTCCATTTATCTGTTAATTATTTTATTTATTAATTAAATAATTGTTTATTCTGTAAAGTGTCAGAATGGTGAAAAACATCAATTAGTGTTTCCCAAAGCAGAAGATGATGTCTTGTTTTTGTCCACAACCCAGAAGTAATACATTTACTGTCATGAGGAGGAAAGAAAACAGAAATTATTTAAGAAGCTTTTTTCCCCCCTTAAATATATTTAAACTGAGTATCAAAATAGTGGGTGATTAATAGACTCACTTCTGTGTCTGCTTGGACAGGTCCCTGCTTCTCTTAAAGCAAATGAAGATCTAATCCAGTCGCTTTCAATGTTAGCAAGAAAAGCCATAATGGTGAAGTGGGTCGGAGAGGACCCCCCTGCTATCGCTGTGTGGAAATCCCTGATCTCAGAGGTTGTGACTCTGGAAAAACTTGGACATTATAGCAATGGAAGGACTCAACTTTTTGTGCAGAAATGGAGGAAGCCACTTAAACTTTTGGAAGTTGATTATAACCAGGACTTAAATGTGTAATATGATAGTCAATTGCCATATTTTTGAATAGGGAACAGAGGGTTTGACTCATATTTCATTTTTATATTTCGCTGCATAACATTAGCTACTGCATAAGTTAGTATTCCATTATTCCTCTGTGCTATTAATGTCACAAACTCCTTCATTATGTGGACCAGTCCCTGTTAATGTTTGTTTACTGCGTACTGTTTGTGCATTTGTGTTGTGAAAACAAAAAAATGTAATAAACAGAATTTACAAAAAAAAAATAGTTGGTGATTATTTTAATGGATTTACTTATTACACTTTCTAGAACTAATTCTGTTCATTGATTTCTCTACTTATTCTTATTTACATATTATGTCAGTTCATTGCATCGTGCATTACATCATCTTGAAAAACATTTTCTTATTGTGTTTTTATACATTTTGACTCCCATCCATCCATCCATTTTCTATACACCACTTAATCCTCACTAGGGTCGCGGGGGGCTGGAGCCTATCCCAGCTGACTTAGGCAGGGGACACCCTGGACAGGTCGCCAGTCCATCGCAGGGCCACACTTAGAGACAGACAACCAAGCACACTCACATTCACACCTACGGACAATTTAGAATCACCAATTAACCTCAACATGTTTTTGGACTGTGTGGGAGGAAGCCAGAGAACCCGGAGAGAACCCACGCTGCACGGGGAGAACATGCAAACTCCACGCAGAAAGATTCCGGTGCCCCCACTGGGACGCGAACCGGCAACCTTCTTGCTGCGAGGCAACAGTGCTAACCAACTGCGCCACCTTGCAAATTTTGACTCCCATTGTATCCTTTACCAAGCAACCTATTATCTTTTTATTTATTTATTTTTAATTTCATCTGGTGTTTCCTCATTGCATGTGTCATGTAGGATACTTCATGTATTTATAACATAATGTTGGGGATGGGTTTGAGATGGGGGGAACAGAACTGTTTGTATTGTTTTATTGTATTTTTATTCCTTCCACCTGTTAAGCTCTTTGTGCTACACAAATTAAGTCTGATGGACCTGCTTAACTACTTGCATGATAACACTGTCTCCTACCTGCCCAGTATTATAGCCAGAAGCTTCTGCAGAGGTTTGAGGATGATCCATATGACAGGAGCAGGCAGGGCCCTCCGGGAGGCTGAGGTGTGTATCTGGTGTCCACAGTGCGTCAGGACAGGACCACTGGAGAGAGGGGGACTGCTTTTCAGACATATCTGGAAACGCAGGGTCCGTACATTGCTGCAGAATGAAAAAGCTGCTCCAGTTCTGGTGGCTCTGAGATGGACAGAGTCTAACACTGCAGGAGACACCGAGCCTTTCTTCTTAACGGGACAACCAGCTTGTTTGCAGACCTGGAAGTTTCGTGTCAGACGTGTGGAGAGAGAACAGAATCTGCTGCTCCTTAATAAAAGGCTCCCACAAAGTAAAGCCATGGCTCTCACAGGTAACACGAGTCCTCCTACAGACTGTCAGTACAGCTGCTTGCTATCTAAGAGGGCTGCAAATGTTCATGTCAAACCAGAAATGAGAGGACCATGACAACACTTCCTAACTAGTTCTAAATTTCATCTCGACCTGCTCTCAGCTGTCAATGTCATTGCTAATGTTAGCTAGCAGCGAGCCGGTTACCACCGTCCGGCGGCGGTCAATGAAATGTCCCAAAGGTCGTTTTAAAAAAGTGATACACACCAAACTAAAACATGTTACAGTCCTGCGACGCCAAATGACAAACTACATCAAAGTTCGGGTGTTGGAGGAAAAACAGTCGGGCGCTCCTGCTTCTAAAATAAGTCCCCCCGGAAACACCTGTGTAACGAACGTTCCGGTGCT